ATAGTAGATAACAGCTTTATACTAAGATATCTCACATCTCACAAGAAATAAAGAATGCAGATACGATAGCTGCTCAAATGCCAAATGACTTTCATACAGAAAAACAAACATTGAAATGGGTATACGAAGTCTGGTCCTGGTGTAGGAAAGCAAAAAAATATATATATAGCTGTATAATCTATATACAAACTGAAGAGAGATTGTAGATTGCAGTCTACCAGAAATCAGAAAGCACATATACATTAGGGTACCTAACGCTTATAAAGGGTATATTAAAAAACAGGGTTCCAAGGGAAGGTTAGTCTATATCTATTTCGAGCACCGGTCGCATGTGGGACAAGATCACTCAAAACAAGTACTCAGATGGAACCCTCAGGGCCGAAGCATCACTCAGCAAGGGTATCCAATTATTCGAGTCTCGTAGCTAGAAGCTTTTTCTCTTGTTTTATCTATTCCTATAGCCAATAATTTTTGTCAGTATTGCTGCTGCTGCTGCTGCTGCAGTTGTTGTTTGCCCTTTAGATGATTTGCTTATTGTTCGCCTTTTGGCTTCATATTCTCACACAATATGGAGAGGGAAGTCAGTTCTTGCCATAGCGGCAACAACAACTGAAGAATCAAGAGGAAGAGTCGTAGGAGGAGACGTGGAGGCGGCAATGCGTGCTGCCCTACTGGGGAAGTCTCCAACAATTGCTGGTGCTACTGCTGTCGCTGTCACATTTTTGGATGAAGCCAATGACTGTTGTCATATGCGAAACAATAAAAGAAATCAGCGGGCGGCAAGGAGGCAGCGGGAGGCAAGTGGAACATGAAAACTTGGCTTGCGTGCCTCCATTGAAAGTTTATGACGGCAAATAAATGACAGCAGCAACATTAGCAGCAGCAGCGGCAACATTCAGTAGCAGCAACATCAGTCGCAGGGGCAGTGTGAGGCAGTGGCCATAAAAAAAAGATGAACGACAAACTGTCGCTAAATAAATCGCTGCTGACGTTGCCGTCATCGCCGTTGTAGTCGTAGTCGTAGTCGCAGTCGCAGTCCCAGTCCCAGTCGTCGTCATACACAGACGCCCGCACCGTGGCAAGGGGCAAGTTTCTTCGTAGAACATTTTTGTCGCAGCGCTCAATAAATAAATAAATGCTGGTAGGCCAAAGACAATGGCAAAGCCAACTCCATAGACTTTGATTGGGGCAGACGCGCGACTCCAGGTGACGGCAGCTGGGATGGGAGCGGGCGGAAGGGCGGAAGGACTGGTGGCAGGTGGCTGGTGGCTGGTGGCAGAACGATGACGTCAGCAGGCAGACGACTGTGGCAGGCTCATCAGCTGAGCTCTCGGTCCCCCCAGCCAAATGGATTCCTGTGGTCTGCAGTCGTCTGTGACTCCGCGTTGCACCGTTCCGACCTTCACACAGTCGTGGAAGAGTAGCAGAGGGTGGGACTGGCGGGGATGAGCTGGTGGTGCATTCACATTATTCATGCAGCTGCCGCAAGTGGCAGGCAACAGCAGCGGCAGCAGCACGTGCAACTTTTACTTTCATTCGCTTTGTGCTCGTTTCGTGCTTCGATTTGCCGGCGAGTTCAAGGTTGTAGCTGCCACAACATCTGCAGCGGGTGCGAGTGGGGAGGCATGGGGCAGGGGCTGCAGCTGCGGCCAGAGCGGGGTGTCGACTAATTGCTGGCCCTTGAGCTAAAGTTGGTCTACACACACACACACACACACACTCGCACACCTTAAGCTAAAGCGAACAATCGTTTCCGTAGCATACTTTTTAGCGTTCGCAATTTGGTCGCCGGAGAAGGTCCTGCGGCAGAAAATGAATGTGGACTAGAATAGGGTGGGCAGGTGGCAGGGCGCAGAAGGGCAGCATATAATCTTACTTTTATAAACTTATGTAAGCCAACAGGAAATTAAATAAACCTGTGAACACAAACTGCCCAGATATTCCCAGACTTTTTCACGTCCAGTGTGGGAGTTGCATGGCAGAGATGGCCAAGGCAGCTGCAGACGGGGCCAAGTAGAGGCTGTAAGTGCTATGTGGGCGTGTCGCCCTCTCTTCTGTGCTCCATACGGAGCTGGATTGGAGCTGGACATTAAATAATTAGTAATTGCCGGGCATTAGGCAGAATTCAGCGACAATAGCAACAATTTCCATATCAAAATATGCAAATCATTTTGGCATTGGGCCCCAAACACACACACACACACACACAGAGGGAGAGGGGTGGCCGGGTAGAGGAAAACCAATAAGTGTAGTTAGGCAAATGTATTGGAGCTACGAATTGTTTTGTCCTCGCCAAAGGCCTTTACACTTCACGAAGAAAAAAAGGGGGCAAAAAAAAGGAAAATCTGTTCGCTGAGAACGAACCATTGAATACCGTTTAAGCCCCAGAAAGGCAAGTGGAATACAAAGTTACCTTTCAAAACTAAGTAAAAGCAAATCGTGTGAGCCCGACATTTGTAATTCTTGTGGCGTGATGTGATCTTTGCCTGATCTGTGTCCAGATTTCGATAGCTTACGAACCCTTTTTCAATGGGTTTTAAGTTCTTCGAACAATGTTCAATACCCTGTAGGGTAGGGCAAACAAAATACAAAAAAATGTTGCGAGTGGCCGGACTCAATGAGTTTCCCCACGCGCCAACCCCCCTCCATTTCGCGTCCTTTTCGCCTTTGATTGTTGTCGGGGGGGCTTATCGCTGTGCAAAGATCGCCACAAAGGCCATGTTACGAAATTATTGGACGCACAAACACACACACACACACACAAATATGTGTAGAAAGAGAGTGAGAGCGAGAGAGGGAGAGACATGGCATGCAATGCAAATAGTCAACACGCCGCCACATGCCGTGCACACAAATCAAGGGCAACATGTCTCATTCCGGGTCTGCCTCTTGCCTGGGGTATGGCAGGCTATGCGATGGGCTGGGGTGGGCTGGGGTGGTTTTGTTGTAGGGGTAAGTGTTCGTCGGAAGTGGAGGCGCAGAAGGTGGCTGGGGTTGCTGGAGGGGCAGGGGGAGTCAGTGCTGTGTGGCGAGGTCGACTCTGCCGGGCAATTTAAATGGCGGCTACATGTCGCAGCCATGGCGTCGCGTGTTCCCCCCTTCCTTTTTTTGCTCTCTCTCTCTCTCTCTCTGTGTCTTTCTCTGTGTCGCCCACGTGTTGGCCACTATGTGGGTGAGGGGCGGTTAGTAGGAGTAGGTGGGTGGGTTGGCCGACAGGGTATGACTGTTGCCAATTAACTCAAAACTGCAGAGTAATGCTTTTTGGGCCCATGAAAAGGGAGTACTCCGTACTCCGTACACCTCTCTTTCGCTCACTCACTCCTCTCCTCTCTCTTCTTTCCCCTCCACCCTTTGTTTGCTGTTTGTTGTTTGCCGTTTGTGGCATTGACATAAATTCCTCAAAAAAAAAAAAAAGAAAATAACAACAGTAACATGTGGAAAAGCACGGAAAACTGAGAAAAGAACAAGCAGCACAGCAACAGTAGCAACAAAGGGCACAGCAACCGACACGCAAGCCACATTAAAGCAATTTCCCTGCGACATTTCCCCCTGCCAGCCACCCCTACCCCTGCCACCATTCACAGAGAGCATTACATAAAAGCGTTAAATATATATATATGCCAGAATCAGCGAATTGGGAGCCCCGTAAACATCTCGGGAAGAATAGAAAATAAACTTTGATTTTGGACAGTGGCTTCCCCTCAGTGCCCCCGTGCTCATTTATCTTTTGTGTGCTTTTTTAGTGTCTTTGTGTAGTCGGTGGCGTATACGTAATGAGGCAAAGGAAAAGAGCCAGGGGCACGGGCGAAGGCAGAGGCAGAGGCAGTATGAGCGACAGAAACAGGAGACAGCAGCCAAACGGCATCAGATTCGGAGGACGCTGACTTATGCTGGCTCCAGTTAGACGCACATTTATTTTTACACTTCCGCTAACCATTCCTCCACTCCACTCCACTCCACTCCACTCCAACAATTGCCATTCGCTCATTCGTCTCTTTGATACCCTCACCCAACGGGGCAGGGCAACATCTCTGCTTTATGCAGAGGAATGGCCCACCGAACACCCTTTCCACCAACAGGAAGGATAACTCTTCTCTCTCTATAAAATGATACTTTGAATCCTTTCAAACGCGCTCTTAATCGGATGCCGGAGCTCCGGTTCAAGGAAAAGGTATCCAAGCTTCGTTTCAGCCATGCGAATATTTGTTTCTGGTTTTTTTTTTTTTGGCGTAGAGTTCAGCAGAGTTGGAGCCTGGCGCCGTCTGCCGTCTGCTGTCTGTTGATTCCCATTCGAGAATAGATTCGGGATTCGCTTACGGCTGCTTTCTTTCGCTTGCCGCCTGCCTCCTGCCGCTTGTCGGGGCATTGACTTGGCGGCGACTTGGCTCCTGACCCCACAGGGCAAAGTCGTTCCGGGCATTACGCATACGCAAATGCGTATACCCGAGGCTATGCCTTTGGGCGTAGATTTTGCATAGGGTCGATAGATAGATAAATAAATATATAGATAGATAGATAGATAGCTAGATAGATTCATGGGTGCTCAAGAGAAGGTGAGAATAGCATAGGATGAGTTGAGTTGTGGCCATGGGCATATGGGCGCAGGTTATCAACAAGCCGCTAAAAGCATTGGAAAAGCGAAAAAGCGAAGCATTGCTCAAAAAACGTATTCAAAAAGTATTCATATACATATGTATGTACGAGTATGTACTGGGTATATTTATCAACGTTTTATTAAAATTCTTTACAACACAAATTAATAATTCAAAGCAAAAATTTGGAAAGCGCTTAAATTAAAATTGGAAAAATTGGAAAAAGCATCAACATCGTTTTTCATCGGCTGCTTTAAATGATTTGAATAATATTTCATAATTTTCTGTTGGCTTTGAGGCGTGGCTTAAGTGGCTAAAGAGCGGTTTTGTTTGTGCTTTGGCTTGCTCTGATTTTGATTTTGATTTTGAACTCTTAATTTTTGATTTTTGATTGTGATTTGTGGGTACTTCTCATAGGGATTCTCCGGGGCGGCCTTCTTGCCCTTCTTGGCGGGCGTGCTCTTGCGCGGCCGGTTCATCATCGGATCGTCCATGGTGCGCGATGACTGCTGCCGGGCCTGGGCCGGCGGACCCGGTGGCTTTTTCTTTTTCTTCTTTTGCGGCTCCATCTGCAGCGGGTTAAACATGAACTGGATCTGTGGCTGCTGCTGTTGCTGCTGTTGCTGTTGCTGCTGCTGCTGCTGCTGCTGGAGCTGCATCTCGCGTCGCTCGAGAAATGCCGCATTGGCAGAGGCCACCGTGGCAATGCGCTGCTGCTGCTCGATCTCCTCCAGCTCTCGCTCCCGCTCACGTTCCCGCCGCTTGCCGAACTGCCCCAGCTGTGAGCTGCGCCGCCGCAACGTTGCCGCCGCATACGGATTGGCTCCGGCTCCACCGCCACCGCCACCGTTTATCCCCAGGCTGGCAGGTTCTGCCACACCGAACAGCCGTCGGATGCGCCGCCTGCCACTGATGAAGCCCAGGCCCAGCTGCACGCCCAAACCCATGCCCAGGCCGGCGGGTGCCGTGCTCTGGCTGAGGCTGCTGCCCGCCTCGCTGCTGCCGGCTCCATTCACCATCTGGCTGAAATTGCTGTCCAGATCGCAGCTGCCCACGCCCAGTGTGCCCGCCGAGTCCGAGGCGCCGCAAGGGAACAGATATGTGTTCAGGGTGCTTAGCGTTGTCGAGGTGGAGGTGCCCGTCCGACTGATGGCTCCCGTGTTGATTAGCTGCTGCTGCTGCTGCAGATGGGTGTCTCCTCCACCGCCTCCTTGGGGCTGTGGCAGTTGCAATGTCAATGGATTGCTTAGTGGCAGGGGCAGGGGCAGTGGCAGTGGCAGTGGCAGCATCACCGCCGTGGATCCACTCACGCTGCCCGTGGTGCTGCTGTCGTAGCTGTGGGGATTCACATAGATGTGATTGTTGTTGTTGCTGCTTGTGGCAGTGGCAGTTGCAGTTACATTTCCCGTTGCAGTTGCAGCAGGTGCTGCTGCTGCTGCTGTTGTTGCTGTTGTTGCTGCTGTTGCTGTTGTGACACCAGTGTTGACCACCAGCCCCGTGTTGTTCTCATTGTGATTGTTGTTGCTGGCCTGGCGATTGCTGCTGGTGTTGCTGCTGTTGTTGTTTATGTGGCTCAGATCCACCCTATAGCCGATGCTGCTGCTGCTGGTGGTGCTGTTGTTGTTATTATTATTATTATTGTTGTTGTTGTTGTTGCTCGGATCGGTGGTGCGTGCCGGCGCCGTGGCAGGTCTCGTCGAACTGCCACCGCCTGCCACTGCCTCAGGCGCCGATGCCGCTGATGTTGCTGCTGCTGGACCAGTCGGGACTGTCTGCTGCTGCTGCTGCTGCTGCTGTTCATTGCTGGGTGCACTGTTGCCATTGCCATTGTTGCCACTCATTGTCGTTCGTTGTGCCACAGAGAATGTTGCAACTTCAAATTACTGCAATTTTGGTTACACCTTCATTTCACATGAGTTTTTCTTTGCCGATTTTGAGCTTATTTTGGTTGGTTTTTGTTGGTTTTTTTTATTTATTTTTTGCTTTGTTTTTTTGTAAATTTCGGCCTTGAGTTTTGGATTTCTGTAATTTTTAGTAAGCGCTTAGTGTGTGTGTTTTTTTTTTTGTGTTGTTTATTTGTTTTTGTTTCGTTTGGATCACTTTTGGTTTGATTTACCCTTGCAGAGGTTTCGGTTCGCTAAAATAGACCTTTAACCCGTGGCGGGACTCCTCTGACTTATTATTCCTATGCAAATAAAACCTGGAGACACGTATTTGCCGAATATAACACTGAAATATTCTTTGGGTGCCAATCGATTGGCAGGACTCTACCGATCACTAAAAAATATGCCAAGTCTAGATCAAACTTTTTACAGCACAGAAAAAAAAAAATATTGCTTAATTATTTGCACGGCCAATAGTTTGGAACGCTACGTCTCGGGAGAATAGGGCCAGATCAGCGAAGGATCTAATATCTTATACTTTTATATATCCATAATTGTAAGGCTATGTGGCTGCCTTTTAGCACAGGTATGCAAACAACAAAAATAAACTATGTAGCTTTAATGCCGTGTTAATTCTGAACTCTGCAAGGGTATTCATTCCTTCGGTCTCTCTTTATTTATAAATCTGCTCATCTGCTTAGCTATTTTTAATCCACATTAAAGGAAGCTTCGGTTCAAGCAACCTCTTTTCACATTCACATTTCACCAGCCTGTGTATTCATATTCATCTTTTTTTTGTTTGGACTAATTCCAAATCTGTCCTGGGGCCGAGGACCCTTTAGCCTCTGTCTGGGTGTGTGTGTGGGGCACTCGAACAAAAAATTTGAACAAATTATTGGTAAGGCAGGGCCCGGCCCGGATCGCCCGAGGAGTTGCACTAACACTTACGCACTTTTGTCACTGTCACAAGTTGTTGCCTACTTCGAGGCGTTCAACGTTCAACAACAACAAAAAGATTATTCATTATTTTAACGCGTTGCAACGTGTGGCATTGTCACTGCCACTGCCACTGCTGCTGCTGCTGCTCGCTCTTTCCCTTTCCTCTCTCTCTCTCTCTTTCTCCTACTCGTTCTCCAGCACCGTGCAGCACCGCTAATGTGCAGCCATTTCCGGCCACATTTACGAGTTTTCGTACAAGTCGCTGTGGCACTTGATGTTAGTGTCAATGACAGGGCACCCTTTGAATGGTTCCTTGTATCAATCGCTTGGACACGGCTCTGGTCGCCTGTTATCAGTCAGAGCCACGTGCTTAACGCGCCGCGTGTCACAATTGTATGAACTTTGTGCCGCGTTGTTGACAATGCTCAGAGCCCAAACAGAGCCCGCAGTGGCAGCACTAGCACCAGCACCAGCACCAGCACTAACAACGAAGTTGCCACACGCACACACAGACACAGTCAGAGACAGAGACGGAGACAGAGTGAGAGTGAGAGAGAGAGAGAGAGAGCGTGTGCGATAGAGAGAGAGAGAGGCTCTGTTAACTGGCTTCCTGGCTTGGCTGGCCGGGACAAACTATTCGCCGAACCAGAAGCACCAGCAGGAGCACCAAAAGCAGCAGCAGCAGCAGAACCAGCAGCAGTGGCAGTGGCAGCAGCAGCAGCGGCAGGGCGACTTCTTTACCAAACAAAAAAAAAAAAATGCCAAACAATCGGCCAGAAATCTAAGTTAGGCAGCACTTGAATCATACCAAAACACACACACACAAACGTGGCATACGGGACAACGATTCCTCATCGTTTCATCGTTTCAATTTCGGGCCAGTTTTCGGTTCAGTTGAGTTCACTTCAGCGCTTAACTTAACTAAATGTTGTACTACACACACACACACACACACTCGCACACACACACACACACACACACACACACACACACAACCTTAACTCGAGTGAAAAACCAAAAAGCCGAACCACAGGCCAACAGCTCGTGAACTTCAAGTGTAAGTGTATGAAAGAGTCAACGAGTTCAATGGGATGTGCGGCGCTGAGAGGAGAAAGGTTGAGTGAGAGTGAGTGTGTGTGTGTGGGTCAGAGAGCGCGGGCTGAGGGGAATGTGAATGAGTTCGGTTAAAGACTGCGCGCCACAAAACTGAGACTGAATGTGAGTGAGATGTGTGAGCGACACAGCAGCAATAATCCTGATTGACTGAGCGAGGCCCAAGGATTGGGAAACGCTGCTCTTACACCTCCCAAAAATAGCAAAGAATTCCCAACAATTTGTTGGTAGATACATATGTATGTATGTATTTAATTCATGATAAAATAAACCTCATCAAGCGTTTCACTCTAGTCTGCGCTGATGAAATATAACGAATTCTGTTCCGAAAACTATATATAATTTGTCGACGAGAATGGATACAAACGTTGCACTTATTTCTTCTTTGCTGAATTAGGAATAAGCCAGATCGGTTAACTCTAGAATTACGCATATACTCGTAGCTGTCCGTCCCTCCCGCCTTGCTTCATCCCACATTCAGCAGTGGAAGATTGTCAGGGGGGGAAGAAAGTTTCGTTGAGAGGGCTAGCCTGATTGAGTGGCGATTGAGAGGAGTGGGTGGCAGGCACGTTGTGAGTGGCCTGGGTGGTGAGTGAGTGAGTAAGTGAGTGCAAATGCGAGTGTGAGCTTGAGTGGAATTCTGTCAGCCGAGCGAAACATTTCAATTCGGTTTCGGCTGCTCGCCTTCGTGCGCCGTCGGCAATCGGCAATCGGCACTCGGCTCTCAGTCGGCGTTCGTTCCTCATTTTCGTAGTTTGTTTTGCTCGTTTGCTGCCCCCTTCCAGGCCCCCTCCTCATCAACGGTTTCGTAACAGTTGCCCCCCCACCCCACCACTCCGTTGGCGAGAGAAAGAGAGGCAGCGATTAATGTTAATGTGTGCATCGGTAGCGACGCGAAGCGACGCCACTGCTAGCAGAGCCCAGACCCCACTCTGCTGTGGACAGGGACAAGGAGGCTGCAAATGGATGAAGATGAAGCGTTCCAATGGAAAAAGATCCCCCTGACGCCAATCTCATGCATCTATTTAACCATTAGCTCGATTTTATTTCATAAATTCCCAAAATGAACAAGAGGAAAGGTGAGTATCTCCCTGATCTTGATCGTTCCAATGGTGTCTAAAGTAAAGGCTATCTTTTATTCTTAGCAATCCAAAAGAGATGCCAAAAACTGCAGCAACTAATTTGATAGCCAGAAGTCGCAGAATTTTTCTAGTTTTCCCCAAAATATTATCCTTTGGCACTGTCCCTTTTTTCTCATCAATTCCTCTTTGGTACTCTCCAACATCTGTCAATATTTGCTTTTGCCTTCAATTGAGCTGCAGATGTTGCAATATATTTATGTATGAACAGCTTTGGCATTATCATAAATATCTGCCCTAACCCATTGATATTTGTTTTCCGATTCTGACTTGAATTCCCATTGAAATTCCAATTTAAATTCATATTTCATATTCCGTTTTTCTGGAGGGGCTCTCTGTGTCTCGAGGGGGCAATCAGGGGCAGAGGCAGGGGCACAGGGTTGAATGGAATTGCATGCGCGAGTGCAATTTGTTGCCTGTGGGGTGTCCAATGGGGCATGGGGCATGGGCAATGTGGTATGGAGCAACATTGAGCATATGACGCATACGCAATGTTGGACCAAATCGTGGATCATGGCCAGTGGTTCTTTTGTTGGTGGCCCACTGCCTGCCTAGTTGGCTGACCCATGCAAATTGAGACGACAGAGTGAGGAGGGGCTAGGAGATGCAGGGGTTGCATGCCATGCGGCCATGCGGCCATGCGGCCATGTGGCATGAGCCTTAACTCAGCTGTCGCTGACGCTGACGCTAGCGCTGGTAACCTTCATGGCTAATAAGCAGTCACGGCACGTGAGGAGAATGGAAGGGGGATTGCTAGAAGCAGGCAGGCAGGCAGGCAGGCAGGGGGGAGGTAGGTGCGACCACCAAAAAAAAAAAATATTATTGATCAAATTTATACCCATCCAGTGTTGCCACAGCAAATGGTGACGAACGAGAAAACAAACAAATAAAACATATATTTATTTTTTGCAAGCATTCGAAACCACTCGAAAACCACCAACGGAGGAGGTCCAACCAACCCCCCACCACCCACTCATCCGACATTGTCTGAGAAACAAAAAAACTGCAGGGAATTGCAATTGCAATGTGGCTGAAGGAGAAGCTCATCATCAATGAGGGGATATGGTCCGCCAGCTGGCGGTCTCCGCTGCTCTGCGCTGCTTTACTCCGCCGCTGCTGCCTTGAAGGCTGACAAAACGATTTGCATGCTAAAAATAACAAAATTGATGGGGCGTTTTCCGCCAAACACACACACGTAGGCCATGTGCGTGTGTGCTCCATAAAGAAAGCGGCCAGAAAGGAGGAGAAAGTGGCCACAGCGAAAGGCGGGCAAAGGCGGCAAGGATGTGGTTTGCTTTTGCGGCTAACTGGTCACGGCCACGGTGAAGGCGATAGACCCAACAACAACAACAACAACAACAACCATAACAACAAAAAGGCAAATCAATTAAAAAATTTCCCTCAAAAAAAAAGAAAAAAAAAAAACCCAGATGAAAAGCAAAACAGAAAGCCGAAAAACCAAAAACGGAAAATGCAAACCACGAACAAAGAAAAACCCAAACCAAAGGCGAAAGTGCTGGGCAAATATTTCCGCTTCACGTCAAGGTTGTGGCAATCAAAAAGCGGCACACACCAACAGAGAGCGAGAGAAAGAGTGAGAGAGATGGATAGAGAAGAGGGATGAGAGAATGAGAGAAAGTGGGGAACCAGTGGGGGAAATAGTCGAAAAGAGGGGCGACAAGAAGTTGATGGGACTGTTTCGTGCCGCCTAACATATCCGTTCTGGCACTTCAACTGCGGCAACTCCTTCTTGAAACTGCCACAGAAATCCATCAGTGGAATGTCCCCATTCCCCCCCACCACTTCCCAACCACTCCCACCGACTAAGAAAAATATTTCTAGGCCTACATAACGTTTTTTTTTTTTATATTCTTTGACATAGAAAA